TTCAGGCGCTTCGTTCAGTTGCGTATTGCTACGCGTGAAACAGCATAAAACGATGAATTTTATTATTCGTTGTTTATTAATATTGCGTCTATTTGAACGATTTCAGCGATCTAAAAGGCTTGAAAATACTTATTTTAGCAAAACCAGCACGTTTGAGGCTTTTAATCTTACGTTTTTAACTTATAAAACAACATAAAACGACAAGAATTTTGGTATTCGTTTTATTAATATTGTGTCTATTTGAAGACGATTTCAACTTGATCTAAATGCTTGAAAAGTGATTATTTTAGCAAACAGCACGTTTTGAGCTTTAATCTCGCGTTTAACGCGTAAAACAGCAGCATAAAACGACGAATTTTTATTATTCGTTTTATTAATATTGCTTCTATTTGAACGATTTCAACTTACGATCTAAATGCTTGAAGTATTTTAGCAAAACAGCGTTTGAGCTTTAATCTGCGTTTTAACGCGTAAAACAGCATAAAACGAGGAGGTACGTATTCGTTTTATTAATATTGCGTCTATTTGAACGATTTCAACGATCACAAATGCTTTGAAAATGATTATTTTAGCAAAACAGCACGTTTTGAGCTTTAATCTGCGTTTAACGCGTAAAACAACATAAACGACGAATTTTTTATTATTCGTTTTTTATTAATATTATGCTTCTATTTGAACGATTTTAACGATCTAAAATTAGCGAAGTAAGCGGCGCAGCGAAACAGCACGTTTTGAGCTTTAAACCTGCGTTTCGACGCGTAAAACAGCATAAAACGACGAAATTTTATTATTCGTTTTTATTAGTATTCACGCGTCTATTTGAACGATTTCAACTATCTAAGGCGAAAATGATTATTTTAGCAAAACAGCACGTTTTGAGCTTTTACCCAATCTGCGTTTTAACGTAAAACAGCTTATAAAACGACGAATTTTTTATTATTCGTTTTTAATAATATTTGCTTCTATTTGAACGATTTCAACGATCACAAAATGCTTGAAATTGCTTATTTTAACGCGTTAGCGTTTTGAGGCTTTAATCTGCGTTTTAACGCGTAAAACAGCAACGACGAAATTTTTATTATTCGTTTATTAATATTTGCGTCTATTTGAACGATTTTCAACGATCGCAAATGCTTGAAAATGATTATTTTTAGCAAAACAGCACGTTTTGAAGAGCTTTAATCTTATTTTAAGGCGTAAAACAGCATAAAAACGACAATTTTTATTATTCGTTTTATTAATATTGAAATACTATTTGAACGATTTCAACGATCTAAAATGCTTGAAAATGCTTTATTTTTAGCAAAACAGCGCGTTTGAGCTTTGATACTTAGAACTTTAACGCGTAAAACAGCATAAAAAACGATGAAATTTTTTATTATTCGCGCATTAATATTGCGTGTTTGAACGATTTCAACGATCCCAAATGCTTGAGAAAATGATTATTTTAGCCAAGAAACCGCGTTTTTTGAGCTTTTAATCGCAAGATTTTAACGCGTAAAACAGCATAAAAACGACGAATTTTTTTTACATTATTCGTTTTTATTAATGACACTTCTATTTTGAACGATTTCCAACGATCTAAATGCTTGAAAGTAATCAGCACATTTTTGTAGCAAAACAGCGTTTTTGAGGCTTTAATCTGCGTTTTAACGCGTAAAACAACATAAAAACGACGAATTTTTTATTATTATTCGTTTTATTAACGAAATTTACGCGTCTATTTGAACGATTTCGCTTGATCTAAAGGCTTGAAAATGCTTATTTTAGCAAATCAGCGTTTTTACAGGCTTTAATCTGCGTTTAACGCGTAAAACAGCATAAAACGACGAAGGTATTATTCAGACATTATTATTGCGCACGTCTATTTGAGACGATTTCAACGATCTAAAATAGCGAAAATGATTATTTTAGCAAAACAGCGTTTTTTGAGCTTTAATCTGCGTTTTCCAGCAGCGTAAAACAGCATAAAAACGACGAATTTTTATTATTCGCTTTTGTTGTATTGGCCCTATTTTGTACGATTTCAACGATCTAAAATGGCGAAAATGCTTATTTTAGCAAAACAGCACGTTTGAGCTTTGTCTGCGTTTTAACGTAAAACAGCATAAAACGACAAATTTTCATTGACCGTTTTATTAATATTGCGCGCCTATTTGAACGATTTCAACGATCTAAATACTTGAAAATGATTATTTTTAGCAAACAGCACGTTTTGAGCTTTAATCTGCGCGTTTAGCGTAAAACAGCAGCAAAACGACGAATTTTTTTATTGTTCGTTTTATTAATATTGCGTCTATTTGAACGATTTCAACGATCTAAAGGCGAAAATGCTTATTTTAGCGAAACCGGCACGTTTTGAGCTTTTAATCTGCGTTTTAACGCGTAAAACAGCATAAAGAAGCGACGAAATTTTTATTAATCGTTTTTTATTAATATTGTGTCTATTTGAGACGATTTCAACGATCTAAATGCTTGAAAATGATTATTTAGCAAAACAGCACGTTTGAGCTTTTAATCTGCGTTTTAACGCGTAAAAACAGCATAAAAACGACGAATTTTTATTATTCGTTTTATTAATATTGCTTCTATTTTGAACGATTTCCAGCTTGATCTAAAATGGCAGAAATGCTTATTTTAGCAAAACAGCACGTTTTGGGCTTTAATCTGCGTTTTAACGTAAAACAGCAAAACGACGGGAGAATTTTACATTATTCGTTTTTTATTAATGGTGCGTCTATTTGAACGATTTCAACTTAGCGATCTAAAATGATACTTGAAAATGATTATTTTGCCGTAAAGGCAGCGCGTTTTGAGCTTTAATCTGCGTTTTAACGCGTAAAACATAAAACGACGAATTTTGTATTGCGTTTTATTAATATTGCTTCATTTGCGGAACGATTTTAACGATAAAATGCTTGAAAATGCTTGTGCAGCAAAACAGCACGTTTAAGAGCTGAAAATCGCGGGAACTTTAACGCGTAGGCGCGCCAAAGCGACCAGAAATTTATTGCATTGCGTTTTTTATTAATATTGCGTCTATTTGAACGATTTCAACTATCACAAATACTTGAAAATGATTATTTTTGGCAAAACAGCACGTTTTGAGCTTTTTAATCTGCGTTTTAACGTAAAACCGGTTTGAATTTTTGTTATTCGTTTTAATAATGTTATTTATTTGAACGATTTCCCAACGATCTAAAATGTAGCGGAAATTGCTTATTTTTGAAAACAGCGCACGTTTTGAGCTTTTAATCTGCGTTTTAACGCGTAAAACAGCATACGCAACAACGAAATTTTTTATTATTCGTTTTATTATATTGCGTCTATTTGAGACGATTTCAACGATCTACGCTTGAAAATAGTTGGTTTCATTAACACGCGCTTTGACGCCAGACGCTACAGAGTGTCCTAAAAATGAGCACAAATCGACATTATTCCCATTTCAAAAAGTTGGCAGATAAGCGGCCTGTACGTGAACTAATACAAATTTTTGTGAGTTTCAGGCCGTATTATGGTTTAGAGACGCTCACCCATGACCCAGATGTAAACCAATATATTACTGCATACAAAAGTAGAATACGTGGAAGCACTAATTGCTATTACTCTAGTCTAAATTGTGGGACTCACGTATCTGTCGCATTCACTTGGAGTAGCACTGGAGCTGCACTAAAATCGCAAATCATGTCAGACTGGTCAATGTCTATCACTTGCCACTGTTCCGTCATTTATTTTAGGTTCAGCATACACTATCAGTATGTGCAGCCATTTTTCACCAGTCACTTATTATCCAGTATGGTATTTTTGAACTTATATCATTTTATTCGAATTTCCATGTATTCACAATTTGTATTTATACTCAAAGATCAATCGACTATTTATTTGTACTTTGCAGCTATAGTAATTTCATTTTGTAATCAGAAATACCGGTTTTTGATCGCATTTGTTATGTATATTACAAGTCTAAGCGATGAGTGAATTTTGATAACATTCTTCACTCAGCATTTGTATTTACACTGTAAGTTACTAAATTCATCAGATATATATCACGCCCCATGTTGATTCTCATCATTAGAAAATTCCATCGAGCTCGATACAGAAACATTTTTAACTAAACGAATTATTTATTTTGTATTTGATTGTTAGTATAACATAAATCAGTAGCCCTTGAAATATTTTGTTTTAATTTTATGTTTTCGTTTTAGTACAACACTCATTTGTGCCTAGAGTCCGATAAGCTGTACACTGGTAAAGCTTATAATTGAATTATTTTTCAGTCCAAATTTTGCTGTTTATAAGCTTGAAATTTTTTCTATTTATGCCGTACTACCTGTGACACAAGTGGAGCGACCAGCTTTGCGGTCGAGACACAACAAGAGCAAGGTTTTTGATCCTTTTCACAATTAAGTATTTTTAGAATTCTCAAATACTTATGCAGAAATTTTTCAATATTTTATAACAACTTTTTATTTTGCTATTTTTCCTTATGAATTAAAATTGCATTTCTCGAATTTCCGTTTTAACTATCCTGTATCTTATAGAAGTCGTAGATTAGACGCTGCGATCGATCACAATCTCTTTTTAGTTTACGAAAGTATTATTCGTTGTGTGAATAAAATGGGCAAAAATTAAAAAAAATGTCACTTTTATAATCTTAATCAACTAATTTGGTTGCTATCTCTTTTTGGATTTAAGCATTAATTATCACGAAACTCATCGATACAAAAGTTATCAAGCACACCCCCTTAATTTATGTATTTGATTGAGGGTGCAGAATTTTATTCATTATAGTCGAACAAAAAGTATTGTATTGATCCAAAGCCGGGTTTTCACAACTTAGCCAATTTGGTATCCTTTGGTTTACCAAATAAACAGTTTACAACTCTTCAATTACTCTGGTTCGTAGTTTCATTTTATTCTTGTCGTCTTTGAGCAAATCTATTTACAGTATTTATTATGAAAGTTGAACAAGAACAAAAATTAAAACGATTACGTCGTCAGGTAATAAAACAAATGTACCTATTTCTGTATTAAAGAATTCAATAAATATATATTTTTTACGAGCATCGCGCATTTTGTGGTGCGAACGACAAACAAAGGGTATACGTACGGTGCAGGTGCTTTGCATCAGAAAAGATATTAGAAACGATGCGTCCGGGAGCTTTGCCAGATCTTAACTTGTAAAGCCAGAGCAGCACAGCGTACAGCTGAAGATCGCCGTCTTGTTGCCAGGGGTAGATCTCTCATTCTCGTTGTTATGAGTCACATAATAGAAGCAATCAAATTCAAATATGGTGAAATTGAAGAGATTGAGAACAAATTAAAGTGGTAAAGTAGCAGTTTTAGCTTTATAGTTCAAAATTTGTCGATGTTTTTATTTAAATATTGTGCTTAAGATGGAAAGCAAAATTAACGCAGTCGAAAATACGATGTGCATGTGTAATAAAGATGAAGTCGATGACGCTGATGCAAAAGGTCAACTCCAAAGATTTGAGGGCAAACTCGAAACACAGGTCAAAACGGTATTGTGCAATTTTGGCAGATAATAAGAATTGCGGAAAGAGTGATGTGTCACTTTTAAAAGATAGGTTTGTTTCCAGATTTAAAATATTGTATATAAATACGCTTTCAATAAACATTTATGCAGGCGAATTGTTTAACGAAAAATATAACAAACTTGTGAAATTTGGCGGTAGGTAAGCGTCAGCTATTAGAAACAATGGATAGCGCAAAATCTGTGTATGACCATTGAAGAGTCTTTTGCAGAAACTGAATGCACTTTTGTCAAGTCAAAGATGTTTATACAGATCACGTAAGGGGTATATTTTGGGACTTTAAAATATGTTATTGATGAATATCGTAGTAAGATTGTTTTAAACATTACTTAGCAAATGTGAACGCCATCTTGATGCGCAAACACAACTCGGAAGTTTATGAGATCAAAGGTTGTAGTCATTATATTGCTTGAATCTTGCTTGAACGTAAAGAGAATGAGAAACGTGATCAGGCTGCTTAGGACGGTTAACAGCATCAGTTTGACTCATATAATACTTGAATGATTGATGAAAATACATTAGTGTAAGATTCATATTATTAAATACTTTAAATTCAATCGTCCATTTTGCACACGTTTTGCATTTTTGATAAATAGGATTTTTTGGTGAGAGCAAGATATAAGTCGCATTGCTACAATTTTTGTTAGAAAGGAAAAGTAAAATTTTTGCTTTAACTACGTAAACATTCTGAATGGAGAAATTGATACATTAACAGATGAAACTATTGAACTACAAAAGAAATAGGTAATTTATTAATAGATTTATAAAATATTTAGAGTATAATTGCTAATACCTACATATTAGGTACAACGAGAACTTAACAGAAAAAGAAAACGAACATCAAGCTGTAACCTGAAAGAGCTGGAAAACGTAAGCTTCTTGGCAGCTAAAGAGGAGAGTAGCAATGCTGAAGTAAACCTGGGCAATCAGGAAATAATCTTAAAAATAGTGTAGGCTGAGGAGTTGGAGAATACGTTTTGGGAATACTTAGAAGTATTGGTCTTCCACTTACATTCATAATTTATTAGGTGATTTAAACCAATAATATTTACAACATTTTAAATAATATAGATAATATATTTCAGATGAAAGCATTAAAATTTCAGTTGAAATATACACTTACATATAAATTTTTATTGGAAAGTTAGCCGGTTTGAAATTACGGGCACTAAAAAGAGCAGTGGATGGGAGCACCAATTCGAAAATCATTACACTAATATTACTTACAGCACATTATGACACATAATTTAGATATAGTTAAGAAGGGAACACAGTGATGATGCGTAGTTTACCTATTATTGATTTGGGGTTTGTTCTTGTTGTTCGTTCTTTTAAGAAACTGCTTGGTAGAGTGGCTAAAATAAATATAAATTGCAGCCAAAAAATTTTTGTGGTTCTGCGATTTTTCAAACACTTACGATAAATCAGATATCTTTGAAGCGCGTGCCCTTTTATTTTGTTTTACGTTTGGCTCTAAAAGTGATTACCCAGCCGACACATTACGCCCCAAAGAAAACGAAATTATGTAGGCGTACTTAAAATTCATTGTAGCGTTCCGTCGTGGTGAAACACATGCCGCTTTCGGTACCGCGGGCGTTTGGCGTGCAAACACGGTTACATAGACGAGCTAAAATTGTTAACAGAATGGTAATTCAGGCAATGTGACTCCTTTGTTTCAAGCGCGATGACATGATATCGAACCAGACTGTATAGTCTTTCTAAAACTTTTAGGTACATACTTTATAGCCTCTCCTTTGGCCAGAAACGCCAATACGAACACTCAAAAATGAGCGCAGACTTCGGGCTAAGCTTTGGCCCATTTTGCATCTTCCGGGACAATTTGGGTAATGGCTGAAATTGAGGTAACAGTTCGCTGCGAGATAGTCGCTCTGAGAACGCAACGAAGGCAACAAGGAAGGCGAATCGAAATTGGCAATTCCCGCGATCGCAGTGAACAATAAATAAATAAGTACCATTACTTTCAACTCTGGTGGAGTCGATAAGAAATGTTAACGCAAACCACTCGGCACAAACAGGGAATATAATTGGCGCGTCGGTAGAGGATCTGAAGTTTTCATCGAAAGAAATCTGCTGTTCCGCAGTTAACAAGTCTTCAAATAAAAAGCAAGAACCAGTGGAAAAAGACTATTGAACTTTGTAGAGATCATCAGCACGAGAATCATCGTCAGATCAAATCCAGGCGCAGAAGAAACTGGACCTGCAATCCAGGAGTTTGTGGTCATTCAAACATTGAATAAACCATCAATCGAGGACAGCGGAAGATTTGCGTTCACCAGTTCATCTGCTCCAAGTTGCTTATGTCTCAGTACGCCATCTGAAGGGTGATTTTGAGAACATAAAAGTGTATACGGCAGGTTATCAAAAACCTTTTCAATCCTGGGCATTTCACGAACATTTGGAAAACTTAATCCCAGAATTGATGATATACATAGATTCAGGAAGGTTTTAGATTCAGGAAATCAAGTAGCAGAAAATTCAAAATTGTTTCAGATGCCGAACGAATTCAAACCAGAATGCGCAATGTGTGCCCGGAATTTTAATGGCACAAACAGTTTAGTCGAAAGGATTTCTTAGTTGCGCCGAAGCATCGATTGCTTAACACGTTCGTTGACGCTTGATCGAGACGCTTCATTGTATTTTCATGTAAATCCATTTTAAGCAAACTCACCAGGAATGCACAGATCGCCGTGAGGCGACAGGGAGTTCAAACACAACAATATGAGTTAAAGAAAAAGCATTTGTTCGTAACTTTTAGTGACCAAGAACGAAGCGCCTTCCTCATACGCAGTATGAATTAACGCACAAAACAGACGGGCGAAACCGGGTACGTATTTTACGGTAGAAGTAATAAGTATTCAAAATCTACTATCGTCGTATCTGAACGCGCATAGATAAAGCGAAATATTGCTATAAGGTAAAGGCTAACACGTAAGCTAACTGCAAAACCTTTGTGAATTTGAAAAGGCCATTTGGGGAGCTCAATTAGAGCCGTGAGACCGAAAGTATGCGAAGTAGCATTACAGTACATTAGTAAAGAGCAATGTACGCTATTACATCAAAACCTGTCAAGACAATACACGGCGCTGGTACCAAAGTAATCGCACTGGCAATTTCAACAGATTTACAGCACTATCAAAACTATAAACGACCTTTGCGGCTCAGGGTAAAGTTGCCAGCCCACGAGAGACCGCGCAATGAGCGGCAAACCGGGAACACTCCCGAGCGGCCTGAAACGTTTTTAAACCAAATCCGAATTATAAACCGTCGAGCCGCGGGTACCAGCACTCGTCAGTGGTACGCCGTACAGCAATTTCTAAAACCAAGGCAAGGGTTTTACAGAACGCAATACCACTGACATCGAATCGAAAATTTGGGCTGCGTCTAAGCTTTGAGATATGTTTCGCGGAACCTCACGACGAAAGGTAACTGAGCAAAATTCAGCACGATGAAAATCAATTTCGAGCAAAATGCAAAGTAGAATTTTCAAGTACTGGCCTCAGGCAAGAGTAGCAGAAGTAACAGGTAGGCAATACGAGTAGGCTACTGCGCATTATTCTTTGCAATGTTTAAAATTGCTGGCGGAGCACAGGTTCAACAACTTCTTTTTATTGGTCTGACGTGACAAATCTTTCAAAAACGATAATTTGACCCGTTTATCTACATTTCCAGTGC